AAGGGGGTCGACCTGACCCTACCGTGCTACCGGGAGGCACTGGTGGCGGCGTTTGGGTATCGCGCCTACGTGCACGCGATGGGGGTGGTGCTGCGGCGTGGGAAATCGATTTGCACGGACACGGAAATTCAGACGGAGGTTGACCTTGAAATGGAAGAGGGGTGTGTGTGTGCTACTCCTGCGCGGGAGATGCGCGGCCAAAGAGGATCGCTTGAGCGGCTTCTTACTCTTGTAGCGGGGAGTCTGAAGAATGAACGGATTCCCGTTATTGTTTGTGGGGAATTTGTAGTCCATGCGCCGTTCCTCTCGGATTTGTTTGCCGCGATGGTGAATGAATACAATGCAAATATTGATGACACTGAAAAAGGTTCTCCTGTTATGGTGAAGAGTGAACAGGCTCCACGCCATCTCCGAGCTCGGTGCGTGGAAAACGGCGTTGGAACGCGTAAACACCGTAAGGTAGAGTCTTCATCTCTTTCACTGGATTCTACTATGGCGAAAAAGGAAGAGGTGATGAGCGATGCATCGTCCTCTTTTATTAGTGAAGAAGATGAAGCTGTACACAGCTCGTCGTCGTCTTCGGTATCGTCTTCCGCTTCGAATTCCTTCACATCAGTAGAGTCTTCATCAAGGGATAACAACTCTGAATCTTCTGAGAAAGATGAAGACAATAGTGAGAATGAAAATGGCTATGAAAATGGGGATAATGATAATGATAAGAGTAATCATGATCGCGTTACGGGTGCGAAATTTTTCCAGCGGAGCCTTCCTGTAAAGCCGCAGTGGTTAGCTCTGATGGGTGGCTCTATCGTTTCGGAGCTACCGGCGTCTGATCTGGAGAAACTACGCATTACCGCGGACGAAGTTAACCGAAGCAAAGGCACCGTGCTCCAATGGAAAGCAGCATTGTAGTTTATTTTCAGGTTAGAATAGCGGTAAACGCTTGCGGACTGAATGGAGAACTTCTTTGTGGTACCTCTAATCGCATTACTGTATCAGTAGTAGTAAATGGGTTTCTTTCTACTGTGAAAATCCAAATATTGATTATATTACTTTTTTTCCGCTAAGATACTTATATATATATATATATATATATATATT